GTTATATGTTGAATCCACATCGAAATCCATTTTTACGTCACACATTAGGTATGTATCTAACATATTATTATATTATTATATCCATCCATCAATCCATCCATTTATCATCAATCCATATTCATCTATCTATCCATCCATCTATCTACTCATTCTTCTATCTATCCACCTATAAAACTGTCGATCCATCTATATATTTATTCATCTATCTGTTCATTTGCTTATCTAATCATCTATAAAACTATAGATCTACCTCTCCCTCTATCTCTCCATCCATCTACTCATCCGTGTATCATTCCAATCGTGTCTATCTTCCCATCTAATCATAAATCTATTTATCTGTCTATCAATTTATCCATCTTTCTATCCATTGATCTATCTTTTTATCCATTTATCCATCTATCTATTCATTTATCCATCTATCTATCCATTTATCCATCTATCAATCAATTTATTGATCTATCTACTCTCAGTCCCCCTTTGTCTCTGTTTCAGTCTGTGCCTCTGTTTCTCTTTATCTTTCTGTTTCTGGCTGCCTGTTTTTCTCTGTCTTTCTCTTATAATAGATATTACTGTTTACCATTAGTGTTTGTGTGATCGCCAGTGAGAGGAGCTTAGCAGCGTGTAATACCGAAGAATTGAATAGCTACCCCATTTACTCGGAGGCAAGGCTTGAGAAACCTGTGCAGGTGTGGCAGGATTGTCTGTTTTATGCGAGTATGGGCATATTATTGATAGTAAAATATTGTTGTTAATTTTCCCCTAGATCAGTGAATAAAAATGTATTACATTAGGAATTGTTGTTAATATTTTGTTGTGTAGCAGGCGGGCAGTGTCACAAATCATCGTGGGGGTCAGAATGTGACCCTGGTAAGCTGTTCTGCTTCATAATTCTGGTGACCCTGACCAGCCTATGTTCATCCCGTACCCGAGACCATTTCCCCAGCCAATTTAGCAGATACAAAACTCCCGCGCCTGGCATCTAACTTTTAACAGACAGATAGTCTCTTTTATAGGTATAGATTTGTTATACCTGCCAGCATAAGTTGCCTAACAAGCTCAATTTTCCTACATATTAAATTTTTGAAACATTTTCATAATGGAGTTATAAAGGGGCAGGATATCTATTATAAATATATTGTTAATGTAATGTTTAATAATTATCACTTGAACATTCCAATGATGCTGGAGAGGAACATCTGTCCTCAGATACTTAACTTTCCAATGAAGAATAAGAAAAGTGTCATTCATCTCCAAATTACTGAAAATAATGTTTTTTCATATTTTTTTATTTATACAATTTTTGGAGTACATTGTATGAATAGCTTATCAGAGACCAGCCGAAGTATCAGGGGACCATCAATTGGTCAATTATTTACAACTCAAAATGATAATTACCTTCTTGTGAATATTTTCACTATTATGTTTCAAATTACCTGCTGGAAAAGTACGAAAGTTATGATTGTTTTCTATTCACTCTCATAAAGACTGATAATGTGTGTACATTTCAATGATTTTGATATATGTTGAAAAATATATAAGAAATATATACATTTTCATAAAAAATTGTGTAATCAGCATCGTCGAACGTCTATTATAAACAATAAATTTATATGGCATTTATACTCCAGCAAATGAATTTATAAACATAGTAATGCTAGTTATAACTAAAACGTAACTGAGAGATATAAAAAAGTATAAGCATTTTAGGCGCAGCTTAGCAGAACCCTGAGGTAAGCCAGAAGCTTATGGTCAGGATGCTGCAGCGGTCCGATCCAACGGGTCAGAACGTTCTTGTTAAATTGACACCAGTAACACCATCGCTCGTCTTAAGGCTTCTATGATAATACTAGCTGTACCCTGTCATGCGTTGTTGTGGCTCATCAACGCATGTGCGTTGATGAGCCACAGCAACCTTCCCATCCCCCAGTCCTCCCTACTATTACCCCTTCCCTCGTTCTCTCAACCCTTCCCTAATACCTCGTCCTCCCTACCATTCCCCCCTCCCTGTCCCCTTGTCCTCCCCACCATCTCCCACTCCCTCATGCTCCCTACTATTTCCCACTCCTTTGTCTCTTTTTCCTCCCCCACCATCCCCCACTCCCCTGTCCCCTTGTCCTCCCCCACTATTTTCCCTCCCCGCGTCTCCACCATCCCCATCCCCTTGTCCTCCCCATCATTACCCCCTCCCCTGTTCCCTCGTCCTCCCCACCATCCCCCACTCCCGTCCCCTCGTCCAACCCCACCATTCTCTACTCCTCCCCACAATTCTCCACTCCCTCGTCCGATGCATTCCAAAATGATCTGAAGTTCCCATCAGAAAATTGGGAGCATCAAATGATCTGATATTCCTATCACTGAAAAATAAGAACAGTTAAAAAAAACGAAATGAAAAACGATAAAAAAATAAACTATACTAACAAAATGAACGGTATGGTAAACAACACAGCTCAATTCCAATGCAATGTCACCCAAAATAATTAAATCAAAATGAACATAAATCAAAGTCCATGAAAATTCAATTAACAAAGCAATTGGAAACATTGAAATGGAATCGTAACATATATCGTATAGCATGTGAGTTGCTCTTAAGAGCAACAGATGGCAGTGTTTAAAAAAAAACATGTTTTTACCGGTCACAGGTGTGGCATCTATATAATAGGTACATAAAAACACGTGTGTGTTCGAATAGAACGTTTTGTCAAAATTTCAAAGCAATTTGTTAAGGACTTTCGGAGATTACAGCATGTGTTGCTCTTACGTCCAACAGATGGCACTGTTTAAAAAAAAAACATGTTTTTTCCTGTAACAGAGAGGCATGTATAATGTAGGTATAAACAAACATTCGCCTATTCAAATGCAAAGCAACGTTGTGTCAAAATTTCAAATCAATCAGTAGAGAGGTTCGAAGATTTTCCTTACATGAAAAACATATAAAAAACACAGTTAAAAAACACGCTTTTTCCCATCAGAGATTTGACATCTATATAGCATGTATATAAAAATTTGCTCGAATGCGAATGGAATGTAGTGTCAAAATTTCAAAGCAATCGGTGAAGAACTATCGGAGATTAGCGATTTTGAACAAACGAGCATACACATTTATATTTATATAGATAGCGCATGTTGCTCTTACATGCAACAGATGGCGCTGCGTTTCAAAAAGAGCATGGTTTTACCTATCACAGGTGTGGCATCTATACTTATTCCTGCGAAATGAACGGTATGGTAAACAATACAGCTCAATTCCAACGCAATGTCACACAAACTAATTAAATCAAAATGAAAAAAAACAAATCTATGAAAATTTAATTGATCAGTGTAATCGGAAACATTGAAATGGAATCGTAACATATATAGTATAGTGTGTGTGTGTGTGTTGCTGTTACGTGCAACAAATGGAGCTGTATAAAAAAAATGTCTTAAGTGTCACAGGTGTGCATCTATATAGTATATAAAGACACGTGTGTATTCGAATGAAACGTTGTGTCAAAATTTCAAAGCAATCGGTGAAGAACTTTTTGAGATTACAGCATATGTTGCTCTTACGTTCAACAGATGGCACTGTTTTTTTAAATGTTTTTTCCTGTCATAGGTGAGGCATGTATATAATAGGTATATAAAAACACGCTCCTATTCGAATGCAGCGTTGTGTCAAAATTTCAAATTGGTAATTGCAATCGGTAAAAAGGTTTCGAAGATTTCCCTTACATGAAAAACACGTGAAAAACAGTTTAAAAAAAGCATGTTTTTTCCCCTTCACAGAGGTGATATTTATATAGAATTTATATAAAACCCCACTCGGATGCAAATGGAATGTTGTGTCAAAATTTCAAAACAATCGGTGAAGAACTTTCGAAGATTAGCGATTTTGAACAAACGAACATTTCCATTTTTATTTATATAAAAGATAATACAATTTTTTTTTAAGAACATAAGAACATAAGAACAAAGGTAACTGCAGAAGGCCTATTGGCCCATACGAGGCAGCTCCTATTCTATAACCACCCAATCCCACTCATATACTTGTCCAACCCGTGCTTGAAACAATCGAGGGACCCCACCTCCACAATGTTACGCGGCAATTGGTTCCACAAATCAACAACCCTGTTACTGAACCAGTATTTACCCAAGTCTTTCCTAAATCTAAACTTATCCAATTTATATCCATTGTTTCGTGTTCTGTCCTGTGTTGATACTTTTAATACCCTATTAATATCTCCCCGGTTATGTCCATTCATCCACTTGTAAACCTCTATCATGTCACCCCTAACTCTTCGCCTTTCCAGTGAATGCAACTTAAGCTTTGTTAATCTTTTTTCATATGAAAGATTTCTAATTTGGGGAATTAACTTAGTCATCCTACGCTGGACACGTTCAAGTGAATTTATATCCATTCTATAATATGGCGACCAAAACTGAACTGCATAATCTAAATGGGGCCTAACTAGAGCAAGATATAGCTTGAGAACCACACCAGGTGTCTTGTTACTAACGCTGCGATTAATAAATCCAAGTGTCCGATTTGCCTTATTACGAACATTTATGCATTGATCCTTTTGTTTTAAATTCTTACTAATCATAACTCCCAGATCCCTTTCGCAATCCGACTTCGCAATCACAACACCATCTAGCTCGTATCTTGTAACTCTATCATCATTACCTAACCTCAGAACTTTACATTTATCAGCATTAAACTGCATCTGCCAATCCTTTGACCATTTCAAAACCCTATCTAGATCAACTTGAAGTGATAGTGAGTCCTCCTCCGAATTAATTTCCCTACCGATTTTCGTATCATCGGCAAATTTGCAAATGTTGCTACTCAAACCTGCTACTACTGTTGCTACTACTTTTTGCAAATTTGAATTGTATTGCAAGCATGTTTATCTGTCTAATTAATTTTTTATCATCAACAACATAATTATATGTTGACAGCTTCCACCAGTTTTCCTTTGTCGTCTTAAATCGTGTATAATAACAACGATTTTTTCTGTTAACAGGTTGGACACCTCTACATCTGGCAGCCCATCAAGGTCACTACGACCTGATGAAGAGCCTCATCCACGCCGGAGCATACATCAATGCACAAAATAGGAAAAACGACACACCTTTACATGTTGGTGTTCAGGCAGGACACAGTCAGGTGGTGGAGGTGCTCCTCTTGTACAACGTGGACCTCAATGCTTCCAATTATTTAGGTAATTAAAACATGTATGATGTAAAACATTTAATACTGTGTCTGTACTCGAGCACTGTCCAGTAGGAATGACCATCCCCCACACAACCGTTTCACACATCAGATATTAGAGACCTGGATATAATCCAATTGTCAGAGCGTATTCAAACTGAAACCTAGTAGGGTAACGCATAACATAAGCTATGGGAAACGGAAGCTCTAATTCTCAGAACAGTTTTCAGAAATCGACTGCTCCTGCAGTCATACTTGTGTATACATCGTCCTGTAAACCTGTGTATACAGCAAGTGTTGAGAGTGCCGTAGTCTTTACACGCCTCTTCCTGCTTTCTAGAGTCATACATACACACATGTAAACACGCTATAGGTCCCTAGGTAACTTTTAGAAATTATTAGATAAGAAAGGATGCGTATTTGAAGTAATTTGAAGTGTAGGCCAGGCTGTATGATTTCAAATATGGTGACTGGTTTTGTCATATTTCCAGCAGAGATTTTGCATCAACCAGGGCAGGACGTAGCTCAAGGGTCCCGGATGTAGGTATATGACATGATTGGTTAAGTTTTGTATCGGCCCACCAACCGGAGCATTACCTGAGGACATGTGACTTATGAGATGGAGCTGTCAGGCTGCTCATTGCCACATGAGCAATAAATGAACAGATTGTTGGATGAGTGTGGCCTTACTGTAGTACATTCCTTATTGGATAAATATTTGACACTCTGCAACGAAGCCAAACCTAAAGGGAAAAGTCTGAAAACTTGTATTATAGAAGACTGTCCAAAGAAGGAACTTCAAGACGTTCCACATTGCCGACATTTAGTGCCTTGCCAGAGACGGATTTTGCTTGGTGAATTAAGACACGTCTCGAAGCTTGCCAGTGGTTGAGGGATCACATTTACCTGCATGCAGGCTGTAAGGAACTCCAGAGAAGAAAAGTGAAGAAAATATATGTTATTCTCACCAGGAAGCCTTAGGCTCACAATTAATATCTAATGGCCAGTCTTGGTCAAATGAGGATTGGTTATGGAAGTAAAGGAGTGCCAAGAAAGAGCAGTTCTGATACTTCATTAACATTGTAACGAAAGTATTGTAAGTGGTAACCAGTGATTAGGGATTAAAAAGACGCCTTAACCCACTACACCACTAAGGCGTACTAGTTATGGCAGCTACTGGAAGGTAGTTGTGCTTTCTGGGTTCGAGTCCCACTGGTGGGTGTTGTCCAAAGATTATTAATCTTCACTTGTGGTTTATGCAAGTATAGGCTTATAAGCTGGACATGAGTTCTCTCACATTGACAGTGGCTTGACGAAAAATGCAGACTGACCCCACACTCATCTGGTGCCTTCGGGAAGTGGAGATGTTTGGGATGTATATATATCTCGAACTCTCTACTTCTTTTGTAAGGTCTGATGGTGTAGTGGGTTAAAGCATACTAGTTATGGCAGCTACTGGAAGGTAGTTGTGCTTTCTGGGTTCGAGTCCCACTGGTGGGTGTAGTCCAAAGATTATTATTCTTCACTTGTGGTTTATGCAAGTATAGGCTTATAAGCTGGACACGAGTTCTCTCACATTGACAGTGGCTTGACGAAAAATGCAGACTGACCCCACACTCATCTGGTGCCTTCGGGAAGTGGAGATGTTTGGGATGTATATATATCTCGAACTCTCTACTTCTTTTGTAAGGTCTGATGGTGTAGTGGGTTAAAGCATACTAGTTATGGCAGCTACTGGAAGGTAGTTGTGCTTTCTGGGTTCGAGTCCCACTGGTGGGTGTTGTCCAAAGATTATTAATCTTCACTTGTGGTTTATGCAAGTATAGGCTTATATGCTGGACACGAGTTCTCTCACATTGACAGTGGCTTGACGAAAAATGCAGACTGACCCCACACTCATCTGGTGCCTTCGGGAAGTGGAGATGTTTGGGATGTATATATATCTCGAACTCTCTACTTCTTTTGTAAGGTCTGATGGTGTAGTGGGTTAAAGCATACTAGTTATGGCAGCTACTGGAAGGTAGTTGTGCTTTCTGGGTTCGAATCCCACTGGTGGGTGTTGTCCAAAGATTATATATATATATATATGTATATATATATAAACATATATATTTATTCCTGAGCCACAGGCTTTAAGATTGCCTTCAACATGGTAAGAAAAGATGCAGTACTTTGTGCCGTGCATCGCCATTTCCGGCCCCTCTACCCGTTCATACTATCGTGCTACAGTGGTGAGTCAAAACTGCTCTTTTGTGAACATGAAATCAGATCATGTGAAGGTGTTGAGCAAGGTGATCCTCTTGCTCCCCTTATTTTGTGCTTAGTCTTAAAAGAAATCACCGAAAGCTCGTCCAGCGAGTTCAACATCTGGTTTTTGGATGATGGCACTATAGCTGGCACCATAGACCACCTCTTGTCAGATATCAGGAAAATAAGGGAGCAGGAAGTAAGCCTGGGTCTCGTCCTGAACCCTTCGAAGTGTGAAGTAGTCTCCTCCAACCCAGACATCGTAGCTAGAATAAGGTCTGCCTTGCCTGGAGCCCATGTCATTAGGGCCGAGAACAGCACCCTCCTTGGAGCCCCCCCCTCGGATCTAACGCCATTGAGGAGATCCTCGACAAGAAACCTTAGGAGGATGGAAGACAGAATAGGTGACATCGATTCCCACAATGCTTTTTATCTCCTCACCAAATGCCTATCCCTTCCGAGGCTAACCTACTTTCTGAGGTGCGCTCCATCTTACGACAACCGAAAGCTTGAAGAGTATGACCTCTTACTGAAGACCATGCTGGAAAAAGTTGTTAACCTCTCCCTCAACGAATGCCAGTGGAAACAAGCCACTCTTCCTGTCAGGCTCGGTGTCCGCACCGCCACCCAAATTGCTGTCTCAGCCTTCCTGTCTTCCTCCTCAGCATCAGATGACCTGGTTAAGGAAATTCTACCTGACACCCTGAGTGATGTAGCGGGGATACAGGACCCCCACTACACGGAATGCAACACGAAATGGGATGCCATGGCAAACTCAGCCCTCAGACCAGCCATGCCGAAAGCCAAGAAACAATCCAGTTGGGACAGCCCCATTGTAGACAAAGAAGCCACAGCTTTGCTGGAGGCAGCAACAACCCCCAGTGATCGTGCACGCCTCACAGCTGTGCAGGCTCCCCATGCAGGGGACTTCCTTTTGGCAGTCCCTATGTCTGCGACAGGCACATGTCTTGATCCGCAGGAGCTCCGTATTGCAGTCGCTCTCTGCCTTGCTGCCCCTATCCACACTGTTCACAGGTGTATTTGCGGCGAGGCAGATGCTGACGAATATGGATTGCATGGCCTGCACTGTGGAAAATTGGGTGGTTGGCACACTAGACACGACGAAGTCAACGACATCATTAAAAGAAACCTTGCCTCTGCTCAGTCTCCAGCGGAAAGAGAGCCCTGCAACTTTCTGAACCGTGACTCTGTTAGCTTTGCCGGCCGACCAGACGGAATCACACTGCGTCCGTGGAAGGTTGGCAGGCAATTGGCATGGGACTATACTTCCGTATCCACCCTGGCAACGACATACATCACCCTCTCTGCCGGCACAGCAGGAGCCGCACCGACACACAGAGAAAACCAAAAGTCAGTCAAGTACAGGCAATTAGATCAACGGTACAACTTCGTTCCAATAATATAATAATAATAATAATAATAATAATAATAATTTTTATTCAGGCAAAGGTACATACATAAAGAGATTTTACAAAGATTGTTGGCTTTATAGATGAGAGCTAGTACATACAATGCCTAAAGCCACTATTACGCAAAGCGTTTCGGGCAGGAAAAAACACTACTGACTAAAGCTTAAAACTAATGGGTAAAAAGAAAAAAATGCGTTGAGTACAAATAAAAATAGAGGTAAAAGAGGGGGGAACATTGTTGAAAAAACAGCACAAATACAATTACAAATTATTACAGAAAATTACATTAAAACAGCGTTGAATTGTAAAAAACAAAAAAAAAACAAAAAAACAAAAACAAAAAAAAAAACATACATGGGTTGACAATAGAGAGGTAAGGTAGGTTACAGGGAATTTATTAGGTATAGCTTCGTTTTTAACTTAAACTGGTTGAGAGAGGTACTGTCTTTAACATGGTTGGGAAGGTCATTCCACATCCTGGGCCCCTTGATTTGTAGAGCATTTCTGGTTTGATTAAGTCGTACTCTAGGAATATCAAAACTGTATTTATTTCTGGTGTGGTGCTCATGGGTTCTGTTACAACCATCTATGAAGCTTTTGAGATCAGGATTGGCATTACAATTTAGCGTTTTGTATATGTATAGTACACATGAGAGAATGTGCAGTGACTTAATGTCTAACATATTCAGGGATTTGAATAGGGGTACCGAGTGATGTCTGGGGCCAGAATTGGATATTGTCCTAATAGCAGCTTTGTGTTGAATAATTAGAGGACGTAAGTGATTTTGGGTAGTAGAGCCCCAAGCACAAATACCATAGTTGAGATATGGATAGATAAGGGAGTAATAGAGAGTCACCAGGGCAGGGCGTGGTACATAATATCTGATCTTAGAAAGAATGCCCACAGTTTTTGAAACTTTTTTTGATATGTTTAGAATGTGTCCCTGGAAATTCAGCTTGTGGTCAATGAGAATGCCAAGGAATTTGCCATCTAATTTGTTACAAATTTGGGTATTGTTTATTTTGAGATTTATTTGATTAGAGGATTTATTGCCAAACAGAATATAGAAGGTTTTGTCAATGTTAAGGGTGAGTTTGTTGGCAGTTAGCCACAGATGGACTTTATTTAGCTCAGTATTTACTGTGGCATTTAGAGCAAGGGGATCAGGACTGGAGTAAATGAAGGTTGTGTCGTCAGCAAATAGGATTGGTTTGAGGTGTTGGGAGGCATTTGGAAGGTCATTAACCCTTAAACTGCGCATGGCATATATATACGCCCTGAGTAACATGTCCCATGGTGCGCATGGCGTATATATACGCCATAGGGTGCCAG